AGACAACATGTTTTAAGGTGAAGTAGCTACAGTATGATACAAACCCCAGAAGCTCAAAGGGACAGTGTCAATCTGAGTTCGGGGGATCCTGAGTAGTTTCTGGAAAGGCAAAAATATTCACACATAGAAAGAAAATGTGACCTTATGGGAGCAGGCAGCAGACCAAGCCCAGCCACCCTCTCTCCATGCCCTGCCTGTGCCAAGGGCAGGATGTGGGGCAGGAGGGCTCAGCTGCAGCACGGGGAGCCTGCCCCTGCTCCTGGGAAATCCTGGCACTGCAGCCGGGGGAAGGTGCTGTAAAGGACTGCGGGAGACTGGTATGGCAGGGAGCACCATTGGCACCACATCCCCTCTTCCCCCCGGCAGTGACACATGTGGGGCTGTCTCCTGCAGTGCTGAGCCCTGTTCTGGTGAGCGCAGGGCCAGGGCTGGTGGGTGCAGAGGATGCCCGTGCCTCAGCAGCTGGGCATGCTCAGCTCAGCACCATGGCTGAGATGCAGGGCTTTGTGTGCAGACCATCTGCATTCCTGCATGTGGGGGCTTGCGGCCACCATCTCATGGTGGGTGCTTGAGTCTGGTGTGAAAGCATGTTAGGGCACTTGGCAGGTGAGACAGTTGCCTCCTCTGAAACATTCCAAACTCTGGCATCTTCTGGGGTTTTGCACTGGGGCTGGAGTTTGTTCCTGTTCGAGCTGCATCCAACATAACTGGTCTGCAGGTTTAATGGAGATATAGTGTCAAAGAAACTCACCATTCAGAGCTGGGGGGCATTGCCTCATGTTTTCCAGTGACTGCTTGGGCCAGGAGCAGCTTGGTGTGGTTGTGCAGGGCTGGTACCCAGACCTGCAGCCCCACATGCTTAAAGCCAGGTGAGTGGCACTGGCAGATCCTGTCCAGAGCCAGACCTGTGTGTGGGCAGTAAGGGAGCTGTTGGGCTTTATGTGCCTGGCCTTTCATAGCTGGGCTGCAGATGACTCCTCTTTGCTTGTCAACAGCCTTGTTTGAGGTTTGAGATTGTTGACCCCCACAGAAATGCGCGAGTGGGTGGCATGCTTCAAGGCCTTGGGCTTAGGGGACAGCAGCTGCACCCCGGCCGTGCAGGCAGCTCAGCAGCAGCTCTTCGAGGTGGGTGCGGATGGGCTGTGTGCCGGCGGCGCAGCGGGGCTGGGGCTGCTGGCTGCTGCTGGAGCGAGGATCCAGCCCTTCAGCAGTGCAGGCGACGGGAGAGCCCCTGCTCCAGGGAGACTGCAAAATGGATTTGGCAGGAGCAGAGGAACAGCATGCCAGAATGTGCTAAGCTGAACCAGCTTTGCTTTGTGGATTTTTTTTTTTTTCACAATCCACCAAATAAAACACTGCTTTGGGAGCTGAGCTGAAGCTGGGAATCCCTCTTCTGTTCCTGCCTTTCCCCCTGCCTGTGACAGCCCAGCCCTCCCTCCCCTGCCTGCCCACTCCCTCACAGGATCCCACCAGGCCCTGGCAGCCACTGCAGCGGCACCGTGGAAAAACTGTGTCGTGGCTCCACGAGACTCGGCTTGCCGGCCCCCAGGGACCAGGGGCTGGGACTGCCAGGGGAGCAGTGGCTGAACCTGGCACACTCAAGCCTAAAGGGCTCATCCCTGTGGGGCTGCCTGTGCAATGGGGACTCCCTAAAGCCATCTGGAGGATGTTTTCAAACCAAACATTGCAAAGCATTGTCTGGCTTTCCTCTAGCTAGAGGGGAAAAAAACCAGAAAACAAACCCAACACCCTGCAAATCTATTCTGGTCTCGCATGCGTCTCAAGTGGAAAATTTCAGCTGAACTGATTTAGGCTGGTGGGGTTACAGGAGGTGAGGCCCGGCTGCCGCTGGCTCCGCAGGGCCGGGAGGGATGGCTCATCGCGCCGGGCGCCCGTGCCTGCCACGTGGGCAGGGCCGGGTCTGGCAGCACCCGCCTGTGACACCAGCCAGCGGCTCCAGAGGGGAGAGGAAGGAAACCTGAACCGGGGGGAGCTCAGGAGATGGTGCAGCCTTCAAACAGCGTGGCAGCTGCCACCTCCATTATACCTCCCAGACTGGGTAAAAAGTGTCCCCGACTACCCGAGTGCCAAGGGGTGTCTTTCATTCTTGTCGCCACTGTCCCCCCGCTGCAGTCACTCATCCCAGGGTGGCCCGCGGAGGGGTGCAGCGGCAGGGACACAGGTGCAGTGGCTGCTGTGTCCTTGTCCTGCAGGAACGACATGAAGCCAACGCTGTGGGCGCTGCCAGCCTGGCCCTGCTGAAGGTACAGGCCCTGAGCACCGGCCTTGAAACTGTGCCAGGGCAGCTCGCCTCGGGCCGGGCGGCCTGCGGGACAGTGACTGTGGCAAGGAGGGGCGGCTGTGAGCGCTGTGGGGTGAAGGACAGCTGGAGAAGGAGGCGTCTTTGCTCCTTGGCCTTCCCCTCCATGCTGGTGTCCCAGGGCCACTTCGGGACCTAGAGCTGGCTGGGAACTTGCCATTGGGGTGTTCGTTGTTGGAAAAAATAGTAGTAATTTGTTGAAATTGAAACTTTTAATGGGAATGTCCATGGGCGTGTGGGAGACTGAGTTCCCCCGGTCCTGCATCCCGGAGCCTGTCTCCCAGCTCCATGCTCCAGCCTGGGTAGGTCAGTCCTGCTCCCACATGGAACAGGAAGGTTTTGGACCCTCAGACACCTTGGAAGGGACATGACTTTCCAGCCAGCTCTGTCCATGCTCCCTGCTGGCGCGGTGACTCCAGCTGGGTGAGCCCGCACCGCTGGGGCAGGGCGGAGGCACAGCTCGAGCTGAGAGGAGGGTTCGCGATCCGCTGTCGTGCCATGACGGGGTAACTCCACGGGGAAGAAGCCCGCGGAGGTGTCTGGCCCAGCCGCCGGCCCCGGGCAGGCTCAGCCTTCGGAGCTGGAAAGGCC